CTTTGATGTGTGTAAGTGGCACACCGCTGGGCTCATCAACAGTGCGCCGTCTGGTTGGGACAGCAGATCTGGTAAGTCCGAAAGCACCACTGGTGTTTCAACTAACATTTCCAACTGTAGTGGAAACCAGGGCTTGCTTGGTCCGCTGGGTGCCACCAGCGTCAAAGTGCAGGTGCGCTTCTGTCGAAGTTTCTCCAGTACCTGGTGAATAACGGGAAGGGAGGAAAGGCGTACACGTCCATGTGGGCCCACAGGATCGACAAAGTGTCCCAGGCTCCTGGAACCGGCATGAGTGTCACGTACGTTCGAGCTTGGCATTTTGGGGTGTGGTGAATAGGTCTAACTTTGGACCGACCCATGGCAAAAACAGTCTGGAGGCTACCCCTTTGGGTATCTGCCACTACGCATTCTGGAGAAGGAGACTGAGCCGCCAGTCCACTTGACTGTTCCTCACCCCTGGAAGGTGGTGTGTGGAGAATTAGCTCCACTAGGACTGACAGTGATGAGATCTGGTCCCCCTCCTTGTTGATATAGGAGACCATCAGTGTGTTGTCCATGCGAAGCAAGACTCTGTGGCCTCGAACTATGGGTAGAAAGTGTATCAGTGCTACGTGCACAGCTTTCAGTTTGAGCCAGTTGATATGGTGGTCCTGAAGCCAATGCAGGGGCCATATTCCTTAGGCTTGTTCGTTCAATAGGTGCGCTCCCCAACCTGTGAGGGGGTCCAGGGGAACCCCCTGCCTGAAGTTGGCAATTGCTGAATACCAGGACAAGGCATTCCTCGCTTGGTCCGAGAGAGTTACTTGCCGCTCCAGTTTCCGTAGGTGAGCCCGGTGCTGCAACAAAGTGCGCTGTACCTGGCGGCTGCGTATCATGGCATGGGGAACTACCCTGTAAATCGAGGTCATCATTCCGATGATTGGCATCAGTTCTCAGAGGGACACAGAAGGAACGCTGACTATTTAAGCATTCGGCTAGGTCACTTAGTGCTAGGCAACGGGCCTCCAATAGCCATAACAAGCCCATCTCTGTTTTGAACTCCATGCTCAGGAATACCAACTTTGCTTGATTTACTAGGAAGCCCAGCTGGTGTAGTAAATCCTGTGTTAGACTTACTGTTTGGCTAACAACACCTTGTTTGGATTGTGTAGCAACCAGTTGTCTAGGTACAGGTTGATGTGTACTAATGCCCGGCGCAGCAGCAGCACCACATGTTCCCGCACTCTGGTGAACACGTATGGAGCCATGCATAACCCAAAGGGGAGCACCCTGAACATGACTACTTGGCCCAAATGGGTGAATCGAGGGAGTCATTGACTCGCTGGGTGCATTGGTATGTGCACAGAGAGTAAAACAGTGCTCTGTGTTTCCAGGAAGCACATACTGATTTAGTCTGCTTAAGTCCAGAACTGGGCGCAGCCACCTGTAGTCTTTGGAACTACCAACACTTATCGCCGGGTTCTCTATCCTGTGTATAGCGCCCTTTGTAAGCAAACTGACTATCTCCTGTTGAATTGCTTCTGCTTTACGGGGATCCCCTGGTAGCACCCTGAACGGGGGGCTGTTGACAGGGTGGTGGAGATCACAGCAGGATCTTGTAACCATGTATCACCATCTGGTGAGTCCAGGTGGCGATTACATGCTGCCTTCAAGCCGGAATACACCTGCACAATCTGTGTGCAACAGAGATATGTGGGTTCGGCAGTTCTACATTGCGGATGATCTCTCCTCCGCCGAGGTGAGACCCTGCAAGGCCTGTATAAGTCGATAGGTTCAGACGCCGCCGAACATATGCCCATACTCCTCATCACAGGCAGAAGCTTCAAATATGCTTCCCTTGCAAAGTGGGTGGACGACCACCTGAGGAAGAGGCGGGACTACCTGGTCAAAACAGCATCCCGCTGTACAGAGGCAGCCGCTGCCACGAGAACCAGATGATACTGCAGGATATCCTGAGTAGCCGTGTGGTGTTCCACCAAAGGCTGTGTCTACTGGTCTAAGAGCCTGGTGCGTTTGAGACCTTTGTGCTGGAGGTGCAAAACAATGCGTTCCAGTGGGCCGGCCACAACTCAAAAGTTGAGGGTCGCCACTCTGCTCTCAGGGCGTGGACTGTATCTGACTGAACTGCCATATATTCCATGAACGCGGCCATCCCCATTTGCCAGTCCCACCAAACCAAAAATTGGTGGTACCGGGGTCGGGGGAAGGGACCAAGGGATCCGGTCGGGCGTGAGATTTGGCTCCAGACTGTGCTGGCTCCGGTCTCAAACACCGCATCGATCAGGTAGCGCTTGGTCCAGCTGAAGCATGAGATTTCCCCACTCTAAGAACTTAGGCCTCTATTATGCAGAGGACCACGGTCCACCCATCAATACCGTATGAGCGTTGCACCCACCAAATCAGAGATCGCCTAACCCCCCTTCACGGAGAAAAAACAAGCAGCCTCTCGGCTGAGATAGCTCCGCTGTTAGCAATGCACATTTCAATTAAAGAACAGAAGATATCATTAGAAAATGAACAATATGCATAGTATCAATGCTATGGAACTTGCTGTTTTTAACAAGAAGTCGAAAATATCACTTTTTACCAAAAATGACAAAAATATTCATCAAAATTAGAGAATTGAAGATATCATCATGAAATGAACAAATTTGAGAGTGGTCCACATATATTTTTTTTTATATATGTAATATCAAAGCAATTGGACTTGTGGTTTTTAACAAGAAGTCAAAAATATCACTTTTTACT